CCCAGTATATAGTTTGTAATCCTTTGTTAAACATCCTCAAGGACTCGCTAAAGATCCTCCAAAGATTCTCCAAAGAACCTAGCAAAGTTCCTTGTGAGGATCCTTCAAAATCCTCAAGGGCAAAAAAAGGGGTTTCAAATTTAAAATAATTCACTCTAAATTGTTTACAGTGGTGATGTGGATGAAAAAGTGTTAGCTGATGCCATTAAGATGACAAATATTGCTGTCAACCTGTGTTTGTCAAACAAGTTCCTTCAAGCACAAGCTAAACTGGAACCATGGTAATCAACAGTGTACCTTACTCTAAGCAAATTTTAGAACTTGAATTGGCCCTCAGATTGTCCATATAACACTGAGATCAATGTCAGTATCTGAGCAATTACCCACCAACCCCTCCCCTAACCCAACATGAAACCCTAACTTGTTATCAATTGACTGATTTTGGGTTAGGGGAGGGGTAGGTGCATGGTTACTCAGATAATGACATTGATTTGGGTACTGCATTGTCAACAAGGCTTTACATTTGAAGCTGAACCAATTTTGACTCTGGCACAAAATTTGGATGCCTTTACAGTGTCATTATTAAGACCAAGTAGAAGTTTTGCAGATACCAGAAATGAAAGGTGAAATTGAGATTAATCTTCATTTTCTGTAAAATTCAATGGAAATTCACAGTCAATGTTTATGATAAATTTCACTACTCAATATATGTAACCTTTGGGAGGTTTTTTCAATTTTTCGCAGATTAATGAGATGACTTGATACTTTCTTGATTGATTTTAAGGATAAATGAAAGCATGTACCATGCTCTTGGTTACAGCACCATCATGTATCTCCAGGCTATGATGACATTTGAACCTGTGAGTACTACATAATTGATTATCAGAATTCATGAATTCAAGACTCCAACTTCTGTTGAATTTGTGCTTTTTAAGGGTGACTAGCATTTAAATTCTCTATACATAAATTATCACAGTGACAGTACTGAATGGAACTTCAAGGTTATGAGAACACAGGAAATAACCACCCACTTAAGAGACTTGTGATTATTAAACAACTTCTCCTTATCAATAACACAGGAAAAGTATTAAGAGAGCAGTATGGAGAATTAAAGCATACTGATGTTCAAGGGTATAATGGATTAACTCTTTGAATCTCTTTGGTTACTGGAATAAACATTTAACTTCTTGTTACAATACATTATTATGTATTAATAAAATAAATCATCTAATAAATAGGGACTGAGAAATCCATGAAAAACTTGTCAGGGAGTGAACAGTTACAAATTATCTTGATAAACTGTTCCATTAAACTTACTCTCTTAAGATCTCACAAGTATTACCCCCTTCGTGATGTGGAAAGAAATGACAAGGACGCATCCAAACCAGTAGCTAGACACTTTAATCTCCCAAATCATTCTAAACAACATATAGCATTTTGCAGCCTTTCTTTACATCTAGGCAGTTCAGAAAGCTGCAAAACACTAGAACAAAAATTTATCTTCCAAATTGGCACTCTTCATCCCCACGGTATCAACAAGCACTAATTTCATTCAACTAATTTATTCTTGTTTTTTCATCACCATACTCCCACCAATAGTGTAGCTCCGCTCTCGCTGAGGCAGCACCACAGTTTCTTTAGAAACTGACCCCCTTTATTCAGTTCTTCTTACTGTCTGCCAAACAATTCTTAAGATGTTGTTTCGGTGAATTTGGTATTGGATCAACAAATAATCCCCTCCAGAAAGTATTATTTTCTTTACTATTGTTACCTGGCCTGTCTGCAATAATATTGTAACGAGAAGTTTTTCTCTTGGACCTGGGAATTTAAGGGTTAAGTTCTCTTAGCCTTCTTACTTTTACCCAAAAGTGATGAATAAGTAACTTCTCCCTAAAGTACGTATCTTTATATTGTCTAGCAAACAGCTAGGTAATGAGAATACTCAAAGTTATCAGGTAGAAGTTGTCATCTTGATCTAACACCAAATTCTTGTAACTTATTTACAAGAAAATGTGTAGCAGCTAGAGGGGAGAATTAACGATCAGATCTTGGGAGTTAAAAGGTTAAACTTATTTACAAGGAAGTGTACAGTAGCAAGAAGAGAGGATTAATTGAAGTGAAAAGGGATGACAAAAGATCTCTAGAAAATTCCACTAAGGAAAATGTATTTTTGAGATAAAGACTCCCTCAATACTGAAAATTTAATTCAAAAAATACTTAGCTCAAGGAGCAGAAAAAGATGAGGGCAATTGATTCATTATTTTTTTCCATAATGATATATATCCATTATTGATTTGAATTTTCTGATTTTCATTCATTTTATTTAGCAAGCTATACAGCAAGCAAGTAACAGCAATAAACTTGCTTTAGATGTGTGTGAAAGGTAATCATTTTAACTCCCTTTTTTGTTTCTAATTTTAGGTACTTACCGTAGTTATTCGGTTATAAGGCGAACTCGGCTATAAGACGCACCCCCAATTCGGCAACTTCCTTATTGCATGTTTTCAAACTGAAAATATCGCTAAAATACTTGGTTATAAGGCGCATCGTTGTTTGGGGAGTAAAGATCAGTCAAGTTTATTGTAAATTCTTTCATAAACTTACAAAAAAGCGAAAAAGTCGCGTATTGATTATAGTTTACTGTTAATTAACAAAAGCAGAATTGTCGCACACGCGACCACGCGCACAAAAGCCTTGATTAAACAAGAATTAACATACTGCAGGTGATTAAACAAGATTTATCTCTTCAATTTTCGTTTTGTTTTGTGACGTATCAAATTACTGAGCACGTGCTCTCGAGCACGTATCATATCTATGCAAATTTGACTTCGCTCGTCTTTTCAGAACCACCATATTTATAAAAGTCAATGACAAACACTGTGTATCCTTTTATTTGCTTGAAATCGTACCAGTAACTGTGAGAAAAATATCTCAAAACATAGAATTTTTAGTAGAAACTAGACCCTGTGAGCAGGGTAACTGGGATACGATGGTACTGGATCCTTGGAATATGCAAGTATACTGAAATAGTGAGCTTCTGGCCAAGGGCATACACCTATGCATGCAAGAGTTATTTTTTGTAGGGTGGGTGGATTACTTGAAACATTGTTAGTGGTCTACATTCTTACAAAAGGAAAGAAGATTATTAACGCAGGAAAGAATGAAAATGTCGAATTACCTCACACACAGGTATTTTGTGGTAGATTATGTGTGTTGTGCGAATAAATGTTACCAAAAATAAACTGTATTGGTGCCACGGATACCTGTTAGTACAAAATGTAGACAGCAGACTGCAGACCAGATACAAAATATAGACTGCAGAGTGGGTACAAAATGCAGACTGAGAATCTGAAGAGTTTTTACGTCTGGTATATAATATCATGTCATCTTACAGTTTACCGAGCGTCACGCAATCGCTTTTCCGCGATCAGCCTTCACGATTATTTGCACTATTGTGGAAAATTCCTGGCCCATTTCTTGATGAAAATCGATCGTAATTTAATTTCAAGCCTTCAATATAGTTGGTTGGTGTGATGTCTGTACAGATTTTACCAATGTAATAAAAGTAGATGACGTGTATAATAGTGATGGTAAAGCAAGCTTAAAACGGCAACAATCGCCAGAAACTACAACGGATACACAGGGTATGAGTAAGTTTTATTGATTTTACGAGAAAAATCTTCATATTTCGAAATATTTATTGTTGTAAATCGACCGTATTTCGTTCCCTATACTATTCCTTATAACGTGTTCAAATTTTCAACGGTTCCTAGCAAACTTACTCTGAGTCACACAACGCGTGACGCGTTCGTGAATTAATCGTTGGCTCTTTCTCGAGACGTGACCTTGGGTTGCCTGTGACAAGACAATTGCGTAAACAATACTTAATAATAATAATAATTTTATTTAAGTGTTAGTGTATTTTAGCACTGCTGTGCTAATTGGGGACACTGAAAATAAGGAAACAAATATCGTAAATGAACAGAAACTCGTTAAAAACCCCAACTGGCAGGAGGCAGACCAGTTGGCTATTTACAAAGCGTGCAGGAGTTGAATTCGGGGCCACCGAAGACAAATCCATCCAGTGGCAGGGAGGAGGACTTGAACCCGGGACCTCCGGCTTACAAGTGCAAGTGCGCCTTAACCACTAGGCCACGCTCGCCTCCATACTTAACATAATAACATTATACACAAATAGCACGGGATTTTGGATCATGTATTTATTAAAAAAGAATATCCATACAACTACAATGAAAACAAACATAAGATTCACCTTTCTGATCGTGAGATTCGCATTGTTATCGTAGCTACGTTCCCTGGCATCAAGTGAATCCAACATGGCGTCTTTCTTCACAAGCAGTTTGCATCCATTTGAGTTTTGTTCTTCAGTCTCACGGTAGTAGTGTTGTTCAATAGATTGCATAGAGTAAATGCAGTTTGGTTTCAGACTTCAGATTTTGCTTTTTACAACGAGTTTACGTTTTCAACTAAAAATCATTGGCATACTTAGCATACAAGACATACAAGGCATTCAATGCTTTCATGGCTTTCAAGCGTTCGCGATTCAGTCCGTTCCAAAATTACCGCTCAATAACATCTTTTTGTGTGGATTGGCCGCGAACAATACGACTTGTGTATGCGTCTGTAAGTATTTTGAGCGTTTGCGCCATAATGCACCAGATGATCGTAATCCAAACACGTTGAAATATAAAACGACTGACAAAAGAGTTTTATGGGCAAAAATCTCGTGTTCGTCATGTGACCCGGCCCTGTCCGTGCATGACAATGTCAATCATCATCAAGATAGCACGCGTGATCAGCATGTAAACACCTCATTGGATCACAGTTAGTTGTCATGGTGTTGAGGGCCCAATGACCTTGGGTACTATTGCGCAATTTTTCCATTTTGTGGCGGAGGAAAAAAAAAAAAAGACGACAAAAAAACAAAGGCATTTTATGACTGGGCTACCACAGGTATCCCAGTAATTAGGAATTTCTTGAAAAAAACGGTGCGCCTTATAACTGAATAACTACGGTAATTTTTACAATCTGTTTTATATATATGTTAATGGGATTTGAAAATTGAAAATTTAAGATTTAATTTGAAAGAAAAGGAAGAACGAGAAAATGAAAGAAAAAGATAACTAGTAAACCATGAGAGGGAAAGAACAAAGGAAGTTATGGAAGGAAGGAAGCGTCAGTGGTTGTTAATGAGAAGGGAGACATCAAGGAAGAGAGGGATGGAAAGTGGGAGGGGACTGAAATATGAAGGAAGAAAGAGTTGAAAAAGTTGGAAGGGAGGAACAGAGGGAGGAAGGAAGGTACAGGAGGGAGGAAGGAAGGAAAGTGCAGAAGGTAGGAAGGAAGGGAAATGGGTACGGAGGAGGGGAGCAAGGATGGAAGGAGAGCAGGAAGAGGGACAAGGTGTGGCTAAGTCAGGCAAAAGGACGACACTGCCGTCCAGCAGTTATGCCAATTTTCTTAGCATGCATGAAGCAACTTGGATTGTTGCTACTACCCCAGGATGGGATGCTTGTACATTGAAAGAAGAAGGAAGTAATAATCATGGTTATTTTGATGTACTCTGCAATGCTAGAATGTAATTTAGTTCCAACCTTTTTTCATGTTTTGTACTTTTTTTCTAGATACAGAAGGAAACACACATGGACAGAATCATTTACTAGCTGGATTTGGAATCCATCCTATGATAATTTAACAGAAGGTACTCTCTCTTGCACTGTTCTTGTTTTAGTTTTCTACCTTCATTATGATATTTCACAGCAGGACTGGCCCTATTTTTGATATGTTTTGTATTCATTCTAGTGGAAAGACATGCTGAGCTGTGCTATGCCGAGTGTTTATTTATGAGGGCATTACTCACATTTATACAGGTATAGGTAATTATTGATCGACTCTATTTCACTCTCAGTGAATATTTAACAACTGTTTCCCAAACTGGAGTTGGTTGGTGCTGGATATTTACTGAGCCGCAAACCAACTCATAATTATCCCGCACCACTAGCCACAAACACTGATGTGAACAGTTGTTTTAGTTCATACTAAAACAGTGAGCCAACAGAGGAAAAAAAGGATGATTGTAACTCATTTATTCCTACAATGATTATAATATTTTCAGGTGCAAATCCCACTCTCCAGTTGTAGGGAGGTGAATAATAAACAATTACTTCACAAGTGCATTAAATGTGAGATGATAGATAGCCAACAAGGCCCATAGAGCCTAATTGATGAAATCATGTCATATTCAACAAGTAAAAGTGGAATAATTGTTTTTTTGAAAATGCCCTTTAATATAGATAAATTTTTCCAACTGTATTGTTAATAACAAACTGATTGTGCCCAGTGTACCTATCATATTTTTAGAGCATGTTATATTGGTTCAGAACACATGACGGCTAAACCAATGAAAACTCTTGAATTGCAATATCCAGTGATCCAGTTTTTAATAACAAAGGCTTTTCAGATTTTTAGTAACCAATCAGAAGGCACCTTCTATGCCATCTACTGTTTTAGTTTATACTAAACTCAACTGTATTCATCAGTATTAAACCAAGATTATAACTTTATAATCACATGATAAGTAGAAATCTGCTGGTTTACTGTAGGAAGTCACTAACCATAAACAATAAATTAGCATGTCTGTATGGAATGACTCTTATAAATTTCTCATCAGGATGAAAATCTGGTCAGCTTCATTCGCGGAGCTCTAAAAATCAGAAGTGCTTATCAGACTTACAAGTAAGTTTTGAAGTGAATTTTGGATCATTACAATGTAATAATTCATTGAAGATAATTTTTTTGCTTAGCAATTTTTGTTGCAGACCCATATAATTGTATACTTTCTGTTGTTGATTTATATATTGTGGTATTTCTCTCAACTCAGGACTTGCCTGGACATGGTTGCCCATCAGCCATCATCTCTTCAGCATTCACCACAAAGAAAGGACTTTGAAGGAGGAGTTCACCTTGGCATTGGAGGATTTAATTTGGTGAGTCTTACAGAAAGTATGGTGAACTTAATTTTGTCAGCTCATTAAAAATTATCATGATGATCTTATTGTTTCAACTGGTACATTGTGTCCATTTTAAAGCTATGAGTATTTGGAAGTGCTCCTGGTTGCCTTGAACAATGCTAGATTGTGGATTTAGTTGATTGTGTCTTGTGGTGCCTCTATCCAACCACGATTGATAGGGACAAACTGTTGGAGCAGTTCAAAAAGTAATATAATGGGAGTGGATGAGAGATAGACCACTTTCCACTTGAGGAAGTGCAGCAATATTCCTTATCACCCCAAGTTAAAGAAGCTGGGATGAGTTTTCCTCAAAAGTAAATTATCATACATAGACTGCCCATGTAACATTTTGCTTGCAGAATGTTAAAAGTTTGACATTTTAATTGAATGTCTTTTCTTAGATGTTGTCCCTACTTCCTGCAAAGATAATCAAGTTGTTAGAGTGGGTTGGTTTTTCAGGAGGCAAGGTAACACTGTCCTTCTTCAGACAGAGTCAAAATCCAAATCCTTAGACTACAAGGATAATCTTTCAAAGAACCAATTTCAGTTGTGTGGAAACTAAAATAAATGCAGTTTTGTATTGCCTTTTGCTTAAATTCAATGTGAAGTTTTAAAAGCTTACTTATTGAATTCCTTAGACTTTAAAATGTGATATTACTTTTGATCACTTTTGTATTCATTTCAGTTGAATAAAACTCAATCAATATGCCATACAAGTTTAAACAAGTAATTTTATTTTGAATATCTCTACTTCCCAGAGGTGATTCACATGAAGCAAGATCCTCACAATTATATCAAAACATAGTTCCATGACCAGATGTTTGGAGTGCACAAACTCATCCAGCTCTCAGTAGAGGGCATTATTTGGATATAGAAATTAATTCTCTTAGCTTATCTACATGAAGATGTGTAGTAATAAGAATGGAGAATTGATAATCAGATGTTGAAAAAACCCAACGATGAGATGTGACTTTAAACTCCCATTTTATGACCAGTTTTTAGGTCTGGATCACTTAGACCAAGGATGCAGAGACCAGAACTTAAGATCGCCCATGTGTGCCATGGTTCTGCTCGCCTATCACAGTGTAATAACTTATTACCTTGGTAAGTGGTCAGATTTAAAACTTATTACCTTGGTAAGTGGTCAGATTTATAACTTATTACCTTGGTGAGTCGTCAGCTAAACACCACAACAGAAGGAGACTTGTTTAGGGACCATACAGTTTATTAAATGTATATATCCCACGTAAATAACACACTGGACTATTACATAATAGATATTTGACGAATACACTAAACCAACGGTCCAGTAATCAAGAATAAATTACAAACACGAATGAGTTTAAGACGCAATCAAAACTGTCGATGGTATAGGTGGGAGGAAAACTAAAACTTTCTTAAAACTTGTTGCTTGCTTGATTGTTAGATTACTGATAACACGTGCACAGATACCTCAGCGGAAATACTAAAGTAATTTCGCAATTCAAACGCGTCAGCGTGGTGAATAGCTATTGGCTCTACCAAAGTCTTATGGCTTCTATGCTAAACAAATTACTCAGTCTTAAAGAAAAGGGAAAATACTAATAAGCACCCTGCCTGTACCCAGTCCAGGCCTCTCAGTTATCTATGTCTAGATTCATATTAATAGAGATTAATATTCACATTTATCAATAGAATTGTCTTAAGATGTTTACTGTATGACTATTTTTGTGCTGCTTGGTGATCAGATTTATCAACAGAATTGTCTCAAGATATTTACTGTATGACTACATTTGTACTGCTTTGTGGTCAGATTTATCAGTAGATGTTTACTGAGTGACCACATTTGTGCTGCGGTAAAAAGCTGCGAAATTAAGCCAGCAACCGGTTGAAACCTGAAAAAGGCATTTGTGTATGCGGCGTCAAGTGCAGTGACTTGACTACTATTCTGCCTGCAGAAAATTGTTGTGAGCAAATAATCTCCCAGCTCTAGCTGATTTCTAAGCACTCGAAGGTCTCTTTTTACGAACTTTAACGATGTGCTGACAGTTGTACCATACACAAAATCTCGTTGTTCCAGGCTTGCGTTTATCTCTCTTTAATTAAGATCGACATTGGAACAGCTTGCTACTTGACTGTAGTAATAATGCTTTTTTTGAACATGGTTTGATGCTATTCTGGTTTACAGATTTAATGAATGTAACCGAAAAAGTTAAAATTCATAGACCCAACGTTTCAACACTCCTGTCTAGTACCTTCATCAGGGGTGATCTAAACGCTGCAACAAGAGGTCCTTTTATATGATTACTAATTAGCTGCCTTTTTTTGTGACGAGGTGTAAATAGGCGTCAGGAAGCAAGTCGCCATCGTCACGATTTAAAGGAGCGTGGGCGGAGTTAATATGCCAAGCCTCCAAACAAAGGCGCTGGTGGTAACGCCACCCAATTGTATGGTTAGTTAAGCATGTGTGCTCCAAATGAAGGAGTGTCGAAACGTTGGGTAGTAGCATCAGACCATGTCTAATTGTCCACCTGATTGCCGTGTAACTTTAATATTTAATACTTTTTTTTTGTCGTCACACAGCTTACGTTGACATTTATCAAAGTAAATTACGATAATATTAAGACTTCTTAAATTCCTATTCATTGTCCCTTAACCCACAAATTACAAACAATTACAATTTCGTCGGAATCCCTTTTTCTACCCGGCTCGCGTTGTTATGAATTTTTAAATTTGCATATTTCTCAGACAGCAGCCTATCACACAGCTTACGTTGACATTGATCAAAGTAAATTACAATAATATGAAGACTTCATAACTTCCTATTCATTGTCCCTTAACTCACAAATTACAAATGGACGCAATTTTGTCGGAAACCCTTTTCCTACTCGGCTCGCGTGGTTATGAATTTCTAAATTAGCATATTACTAAGACATCCAAACTTGAAGTACACACAGTATTATTTTTGTATGTGTGGTTGTTTGAAGTTCAAACAACTATACATACTTCCACCTACATCAAACAATCCTAAGAACTATTTTAATGTTTTCATTATCAGTTTATCTTTTGCTGCTTAATGTATGTTAAATAAGTTCTAGTTTGCGTTTTTCTTACTGTCTTGCGTACGTACCGTCTTCTTCGTGGCCTTTAATTCCCATTGTCTCCCTCGTTGTTCGCTTCGCTTTCATCAGCTTTGCTTTCATCAGCTTTGCTTTCATTAGCTTCGCTTTCATCAGCTTCGCCTTCATTAGCTTCGCTTTCATCATCTTCATCTCCTAGAGGACTTGGCAAATTTTGGGCATCCTCCGCGCTTCTTATCTTCATTACTCGATCAAAGTATTCAACTGAGATGTTAAGGGGCTGCACCAACTCCTTCAAGCGGATGGTGTATGGTCCGTCTTTACCTTCTTGAATTTCTCGCACAATGCAGGTGACATGGACGTAGCTATTGAACCGATGCTCCGCCCTCCGCCTAGCAGTAAATGTGGTGATTATCTCAATCAACTCCGCGAAGTTGTTGCGCAAAATAAGCATCATACTTGACATATTTTCTTGTTGATTGATGTCTAAGCCACTGACTGCATCTTCTATTCGAAAATGGGGATAGAGTTGATCATATTTGCACCAGTAGTGTCTCGCTGTATTCCTGTCATTTGCGAGACAGAAAAGCGGGCCTATTATAACCCTTTCTAGCTTGTTCTTATTCCTAGAATATGAGTATGGCCCGATATTCGGCCAAAATTTTCGACTAACACCCACCGCTTCCAGCATGCACATACGTACAACTGCTGATGCCGTTCGACCAAAAGACACGAAGTCAAACACGAACCTATGATCGTCTCGTTGATGATTACTTTCTATATCTGTAATAACGGCGGTTTGAAAGTGTGTTACTTGCAATCGGTCTCTTAACTCATTGGTGGCGTCAAGGACTACCCGAAACGCTGGATCCGTTTGAACGAAGATAGTCTCTCCTTCCATCATCTTTTTCCTCGCGACAAAGACGTGACGCGAATAGGTTAGTGAGTGTAGGTGCAGGGTTTTTTACAGGGTTTCTGTCACAAATGCTGTATCTGATTGGCTAAGCTACACTTCATATTGTCCATGGTAGACAGTGAGTAGCATGAGTCGCCCACAGTTATTATATTACTCACATCCTGTGTGTCCGTTGTAGTTTCTGGCGATTTCTGCTGTTTTAAGCTTGCTTTACCGTCAATGTTATTTATGTCAAAAGACGAAGTCAAGCTTGACTTCGTCGTAAATCGACCGTATTTCGTTCCCCATACTATTCCTTATTACGTATTAAAATTTTCAACAGTTCCTCTCGTAACTTAACACCGAGTCACGTAACGCGTGATGCGTTCATGAATTAATCGTTAGCTTTTTCTAAGACGTGAGCTTGGGCTGCCTGTGCTGTAAGATGATCATCTTGCGCAATAACAGTCATGGCGGAATTATAAGAGTTTGTATGGGAATATTTACGACCGCTCTAAGGAATTAAAAAATACGTCAAATTCTCAATAAAAATACCTCACTTGACTTCCACAGTTTATCACTTGTTATCTGACCGCTTACTTTGATGAAAAGAACCCATTTTAGCGAGTTGTCCATTTCGAGGTTTTCTACGCACGCTTTTCTTATAATAAATTAATATATAACTAAATTATTTTGCTTGCGTAAAATTTTACATTATGTATATCACCGATTGGATAAAATTACGCCGTTAGTTAACAGACGTAAAATCATACATATATACATTACCGACTGGAGGAGATTACACCGTTAGCTACTGACGTAAAATCTTACAGATATACAATACCGACTGGAAGAAATTGCGCTGTTCCTGTCTTGGCCCTCTACTGTTCGTCCTATACTCAAGCAAACTGTTTAAGATCATCGAACGTCACCTACCCGATGTGCACACCTACGCTGACGACACGCAATTGCATAGATCCTTCAATGCCGATTCTAGAGCTGAGCAGTCGGCCGCTTTGTCAGCTATGCAAATCTGCATTGCGGACATTAGAAAATGGATGCTCCAAGACAGGCTAAGGCTAAACGACGATGAGACGGAATTCATTATCATCGGAACGAGACAAAAACTCGCCAAGTCAACATAGACTCCATGCAGGTAGGTGAAAGTAGCATCGCCCCAACCAGCAGAGTCAAGAACCTAGGCTGCTGGTTCGATGGACAACTTAAGATGGATACTCAAATAAATAGCATCTGTAAAACCGCATTTTTTCACTTATGCAACATCAGAAGGATAAAAAAATTTCTTAACTTTGAATGTGCAAAGATTCTAGTAAATGCTTTTTTAACTAGTCGTTTGGACTTCTGTAACAGCCTGCTATATGGGTTGCCTGACAACCAACCACATAAACTACAGAGAATCCAAAATGCGGCCGCTCGCCTAATCTGCAATGCAGGTCGTTTCGAACACATCACCCCATCACTGTACAGGCTCCCTTGGCTACCCATTAACTATAGAATCCAGTTTAAAATCCTTCTTTTTGTACATAAAGCCCTCAACGGTATCGCTCCCCCTTACTTGTAGAACTGAAACCAGCCTCAAGATACAATCTCAGGAACTCTGATGATACGCTTTTACTTTTAAGTCGTATCACATCAAGTGACCGCTCATTTAAATATGCAGGGCCTAAACTGTGGAACGAGCTACCAAGAGACATACGTTATGCTAATACTGTACATATTTTTAAGCGTCTTCTCAAAACTCACCTGTTTTAGAAAGCCTATCTGCTGCTATCCGGTCTGATAATATTATGATAGTTAAGATTTTAATGATTATAAAGATTGTAATGATTATCAATACCATAGTTTTAATAATATCACATTTGTAGAGATTTTAATGATTATAAAAATTGTTAAGGTTGTAAATACTATACTTTCGATAATCAGGATTGTAAAGATTGTAATGATTGTAAAGACTGTGTTGTAAGATTATTTTACTGTAATGAGCATGTGAGCATCTGCATATGTAACACGCGCAATATAAGTAAATAAGTTATTATTATTATTATTATTATTGTTAGTTACTGGCGTAAAAACTTATATATGTAAATTGCCGACTGTAAATAATTACGCCGTTAGCTATTGGCGTAAAATCTTACAGATATACAATACCGACTGGAAGAAATTACGCCGTTAGTTACTGGCGTAAAATCTTGCAGACATACATTACCGACTCGACGACTTCGCGTTTTTTAGTTAACGTATACGCGAGCGATACTGTATATTTAACTTATATTTTCAATGTTGCAACGCTTTTAAAAACAGGTGTGTGTGTATATATATATATATATATATAATTACATTTTTTAACATGAAAGAACAATTAAAATGCCAAGAACTGCCTGATTCTTGAAAAAAGAAATAAGGCTCACTCACTTTTTGCCGATCTGATGGCTCCGTACACTGGCAAAGCAAAATCTTACCACACTATCGAATTCCTTCCCGTATGCAATATCTTCCTGTTCAAAATGTTCCTGCTACATAAAGTCACATACAAACAATCTAGCTACGTCGAAAAATAAGACATTCAACCTTTTCTGACAAAAGCAACACTCTCAGTGCTCTCTTACAAGCCATTAAGCCATTCATGATAAACTAATATTATGGTTAACCCTTTTACTCCTGTGAGTGACTAAGACAGAATTTCTCCTTACCATATCAATACAATATTAACCAGATAAGTGATGAGAATAAAGAAAAATATCAATTTGGGGATAATTAGTTGATCCAATACTAAATTCTCTGAGCTAACATTATACGAATTGTATTTTTTGACAGTAAGGAGAATTACAAATTTGATCTGGGAGTTAAATGGTTAAGATAAGATTGTAAACGCAACACTAGACTACAAGCTCCTCTCTTTAAGCTCGAGCAGTTAGTTATTAAATTTACATACATACAAAGAGTCCTACTAGAATAAAAAAGATGGTAAGGTTTGAGTTCTTTAGAGAATGGAGAAAGATGTGTTTTCGTCTTGTCACGAGCGTGGGACAAAGAGTTCTACTCTGTTGAGTTTCAGCTTAGTCGATTAATTTGAAGCCTTTATTGAAGTACTGTCATTTTTCCGTCAGGAAACGGCGAGGGAGACGTCATGTACGCCGAGAAAATTCTCCAGCCACATCTGAAGGCATTTCCGAAGGTATTTTGATCGAGGAACTGCACTAATCATGCACTATTGCCGTAATTCCCGGGAAATGGTTAGTAAACTCGCAATCTGATCGGCTGTATAGGAATGTCGTACCAGTGTTAACAAGCCTTCCTGGTGCGCACGTTTTTCTTGATGCCTTCGAACTGGAAAAGATGTACATGAATCACCAACATATTGCATAAAGGATTGACAAAAGGCTCTGCAGTCACATTTGACGAGATAGAAGCGGCAATATCACAGGAATGGTGGTTGGCAACCGTCTGTCTCGGAAGACAATGGAAATTTGCACCTAAGAAGTAAAATCACGTCAAGCTGCACCGCTGGCTGTGACTGTGAAGCCCAATGCGGGAGCCGCAGATCTGCTGGCATTTTGCACAGGTAAAGTCATTTGTGGGGGTTGGTGGAATGGGGGCAGACTGGAGACTCTGTTGCCTGCGAGTCCTCTTCACCTCCCACTGGCTCTCCCTCTTCAACTCGGCTTGTTTGACGCCAGCCTTGACAGTCGATCGCCAGAGTGTATGGTCAGCTGTTGCTGACTCAAGGTCTCCAGGGCTGATGTTGCAGGTCTTCAAGTCACGCTTGCAGACATCCTTGTAGCGCAGAGTTGGTCGTCCTGTTGGCCGCGTCCCTGTGGCAAGCTCACCGTACATGATGTCCTTTGGGATGCATCCATCATCCATTCTGCATACATGGCCGAGCCAGCGCAGTCGCCTCTGGGTCAGCATGGCATACATGCTGGGTAGACCTGCCCATGATAGAACCTCTGCATTTGTGATGCGGTCTTCCTGCGTTCATGGCGGGAGTAGAGGGTCCATGTCTCACTACCGTAGAGAAGGGTGCTCAGTACGCAGGCTTGGTACACCTTCATCTTTGTGTTGATGGTCAACAGGGAATTGTCCCAAACTCTCTTTGCGAGGCGAGCCGTTGCCGTTGCTGCTTTTCCTATCCGAACATTGAGCTCAGAGTCCAGGGATAGGTTGCTGGAGATACAGGAGCCAAGGAAGGTGAAGTTGTCGACTACCTCTAGGGCGTGCTCGCCAATGGTGATGTGTGGGGTGACGCTGACATCTTGGCCCATGATGTTAGTCTTTTTCAGGCTGATGGTTAGGCCAAAGTCATTGCAGGCTTCCGCAAAGCGTGTGATGAGCCGCTGCAGTGCCTCCTCGGTGTGGGTGGTGAGGGCAGCATCATCTGCAAACAACATCTCCCTGATGAGAACTCTGCGCACCTTGGTCTTAGCACGGAGGCGGGCCAAGTTGAAGAGGTTCCCGTCGCTCCTGGTGTGGAGGAAGATGCCATCTGCAGACTTGCAGAAGGTATAGCACAAGAGAAGGGAAAAGAACACACCGAAAAGTGTCGGGGCCAGGACACACCCTTGCTTCACGCCGTTCCTGATTGGAAAAGGGGTCTGATGATGATCCGTCAAACTGGACTGTACCATTCATATCATCGTGGAAGGATGTGATCATCTTCAGGAGCTTTGGCGGACACCCAATTCTTTCCAAAAGGGCAAAGAGACCATTTCTGCCCACCAGGTCGAAAGCCTTGGTCAGGTCAATGAAGGCAAGGTAAAGTGGGCATCTCTGTTCGCGGCACTTCTCTTGAAGCTGTCTGAGGGAGAATACCATGTCGATTGTCGATCTCTCTGCATGGAACCCGCATTGCGACTCTGGGTAAACGCGGTCAGCCAGCAACTGCAGTTTGCTAAGCACGACGCAAGCAAAGGCCTTTCCTACGATGCTGAGAAGGGATATCCCACGATAATTGTTGCAATCGCTGCACTCGCCCTTGTTCTTGTAGAGCGTGACAATCTTAGTGTCCCGCATGTCCTGGGGTATCGTGTCCTCCTCCCAGCATTGGAGCAGGAGATCGTGCAGGTGGCCGAGAAGAGAACTCTCACTTGCTAGCTTGACAATCTCGGGGGGAAGGCCGTCACTGCCTGGTGCTTTGCCGCTGGCAAGGGACTTGATGGCTTTCCTCAGCTCGTCAACTGTGGGTGGTGTGTCAAGCTCTTCCATGGTGGGTAGGGTGGTGTTCTCGATGGCGGTGTTGGTGACAGTGGTCTCCCTAGAGTACAGCTCCTGGTAATGCTCCGCCCATCTCTCCATCTGTTTGCCACGGTCTGTGATGATCTCGCCTGTGGTGGACTTGAGGGGAGCAATCTTGATGGTGCTAGGGCTGAAGGCTTTCTTCATGCACTCATACATGGCGCGGATGTTGCCACAGTCCGAGGCGATTTGAATGCTGTGACACAGGTCGAGCCAGTAGTCATTTGCACACTTGCGAGCAATCCTCTTGACGTTGTTGCGAGCAGCTCTGTAGGCAGCCAGTGTTTCCTTGGAGGGCTGTTTCTTGTGCTCGAGGAGTGCGGTGCTCTTGGCAGTGATGGCGGGCTCCATCTCCTTGATCCCCACCTCGAACCAGTCTTCACTTTTTCTCTCCCACATTCCGAAGGCATCTGAGGCCGCCTCATACATGGCATCTCGGATGTAGTTCCATCGCGCTGTGGCACTGTCAGTTGGGCAGTCCTCTAAGGCTTTCTCCATGGTCTTGGCAAAGCACTCACATGGTCCTGGGAGTGAAACTCTGGCTGTGCCAATACGGGGGCGTCCTTGCTGTTTGGAGCGATGAATGCGCTTGGGCTGGAGACGCACCTTGCTGCAGACCAGGGAGTGGTCCGTGTCGCAGTCGGCACTGTGGTAGGTGCAAGTGATGCGCACGTGGTTGAGCAGGGACCTCTTGGTGATGACGAAGTCCAACTGGTGCCAGTGCTTGGATCTGGGGTGTCTCCAGGACACTCTGTGCTGCGGTTTAGTGGAGAAGAAGGTGTTGGTGATGCACAGACCATAGAAAGTGCAGAGTTCAAGTAGCCACTGTCCGTTCTTGTTAAGCTTGCCCACTCCGAAGTGTCCTATGCATTGCGGCCATGAGTTGTGGTCTGAGCCTACCCGGGTGTTGAAGTCTCCAAGTAGGAACAGGTCTTCTTTCTGCGGGATCTCTCTGATCTTGGCCTCAAGCTCCTCATAGAATGCATCTTTAGCCTCGGCTGTAGCGCAGAGTGTGGGGGCGTAGACACTGAAGATGTTTGCTGGTCCAGAGGGGGTCAAGAGGCGGAGAGAGAGGATCCTTGTGGTCCCCTGAGAGGGAGGCTCCATTGAAGACAGGAGGGTGTTGCGCACTGCAAATCCGACCCCGTAGAGGCGGCGCTCTTCTGGCTTGAGTCCCTGCCAGAAGAAGGTGTAGTCCTTCTCCTTGAGACTGCCACTTGCGGGGAGGCGTGTCTCCTGAAGGGTGGTGATGTCGACCTTGAGTTTGGACAGCTCATGGTCCATGATGGCGGTTTTCCTGGCATCATGGATTTGCTGGAGGTCGTCAGAGAGGCCAGGACAGATTTTTCTGACGTTCCAAGTAGCAAGCTGTAAGGCTGGTGATTTCTTGTTTCTTTGTTGTTTGCCTGGTGCGGGGGCTTTACAACCTGCCTGTCAGTTTTGCCTAAGCTCCAAGCACCCAATGGAGCAAGCAGGTTGTGGTGGGGTAGCAACTCAATTGTCCAGGGGCTGCCCGGCTTGAGGCGGGCATTAGCTACCCAATGGGGCTCGAAGACCCCTCCCACCGTCGAGAGCAACCCCTGGTGCCCTGGCTCTACGCCAAACAAGCCTGGACTTATAACCGGTAGACTGCTGCTCTCCATGTTGTGCCTATGCTGATCAGCAAAGCTGGAGTGACCTCTCCAGGTGCAGGCCTGGGCGGAAAATATGGAAATCCTGGTGTGCCCAGTCGCCAGGATCCCCCTCTTGGCGTTGCTGGTAGGGTCCGACGGAAAGGACGAGCCAATACGGTCGGTGCCAGTGCAGCTGCAGGAGTTGCCGGAAGGTTTCACATTGTTCCACCAGCTGCCTACGGGGCTCCACTCCAGATTTTCTGTCAGGGTTTACTCCCATAGCCTTCACTTCTCCCAAAGCAACCACAAGGCAGTGGTGGTTCTGCAGCAGGTAGTACTGGGTTACAGGGTACCAGTAGCAGGCAAAAGATGTACCTGACCTGACTCCCATCACAGGAATAATACAGCAAAAAGAGCAGTTTCCAATGACTTGAGCTATAAATTGTACTTACAGTTTATTCGTGTTATTTGAAACATTTGAAATTGCGACCTCCTAGTCTTCCACTTGAATAAGATGCAAATTTCTCCCCACAATATCACCCCTGGATCAAAAATTAAGGTCACAATGATAAGGGAAATGACCAGAAGTAGTTCTTGATTGTTAAACAAATTCTCCTTTTCAGCACCTTAGGGATGTAAAAGGAACGGTTTAGAGAATATGCATACTGATACAAGGGTGTAAAGGATAAAAGATGCTCGCCATCCCAGAGTCGCAAAGTTGCTGTCTTAGCTGCGTCCTTTCTTTCTACAAGGACTTGGCAAAATTGACGTAGTCATGCCAACACAGTGTTGGTCTGTTGGCGGTCATGTCACCATTGGTTATTAGTATATATAGTCTCTGGGATAACTGTGTGATTAATATTTTTCTTTGAAACCCTTTTATTATTTTAGGGAGCGATATTCTTGTACTACGCTGGTCGTATAAAACAAGTTCAAGGAAAGTTGGATGAGGTCAGTGATGATGCAAATGAACTAGATCGACTCATTTAAAAAGGGATGCATCATTCTGAGTAAGAAATATTATGTGTAACTGTTGTGATGTGATACACTGTCACAGCAACACAAGCTCTTGGAGAATAATGGGCTTACGCAAATTATTCAGTTGTCTCTTTGCCCGTCTCCTTCTTACCTCACAGTAAGCTTTCCACACAGACAAAACGAGTGAAGGGAAGGTGTGGCGTTACGTTGCTTGGCGTGGGTTAAGGTGGCTGAGCATTACGTGACATGATGTGACAGGGCAAATTGAATCATGTTGTGACGTGACGTGTCTTGAGGTGATATGTATGGGCACGACTCGACATGTCACGAATAGCGTTGCACAATGTGTCGTGAAAGTACGTGACGTGACGTGACATGACATCGCGACATGATGTGATTTGCAGCGTGACTCGACATGTCACGAATAGTGTTACATGTTGCGACATGATAGTACATGAAATGACATGATATGATTTGGCTGTAAGCTGTTTATTCTTTTCTTCTTTGTTTGTTACAGGCCACCAAAAGCTATAACGACTCAATAGCAGTACAGTCTGAATGGAAACAGTTCCATCATATCTGTTACTGGGAGTTGATGTGGTGTTATTCGTAAGTTTATCGTCACACAAGACTGTTCAGTTGTCGTTTAATTTGCGTCCCCTTGGTCACAGTCACAAAACGTTCCCTAATGGAAAGTATAGATTAAGTCATCTCACTTGTCATAGCTGCTGTCGCATGGTAAAGTTTTGTTTTTGTTGTAGTAAAATTAAAGGTAAGGTCCTCTTTTTCTGTCTCATCAGGTATGAGGGGGACTGGGCCACAGCGTACCACCATGCAAGTGTTCTTTTGAAGGAAAGCCGCTGGTCACGGGTAAGGACGGAAGGAAAGTAAGAGAGAACGTGTCTGAAATTAAGCTAAAACACCACTGTTGTCAAAGAGAAAGTGAATGGAGGCTTTGGTAACTTACACATTATCCTCAGGGGCATTATCGTACGTAGTTGTTAGTCTCATTTTCCACGACGTTCAAAAGATTTGCCGAACAGAAGCACGGTTAATGAAAAAAGGGAGAAAGTTTCTAAAGAAACGGTTTGAGTTAATACAGGATTACTTGGATTTATGAACCAAGCTGATAATGTAAATTGACTATCGTAAAGAGTTTCTAAAGCTGATGTTTCGAGCTTTAGTCCTTTTTCAGAGTAAATTACTCTAAAGTAGCTCGGTTACTCAGTCTTCCGCTTTCATATGCGGCTGGAACAGAATTGCAGCTGCATTGCATGACATTAACTAAAGCCTGAACAAACCCTCTCCTCGGCAGACATCCTACATGTATCTTAAAGCTTGCTTCAGAGTTATGGCGAGAATCACAAACCTGGAGCTCGCGAGAGAAGACGATCAGGGTGAAAAGGACACTGAGGAGTATCTTTTCAGGTAAATATAAAGGAAAAGAGAGCGGAGAAAGAGCGGCAAACTTTTGTGGTTTATTTCTACCACTATTTCTGTTATTGCCTCTGTGACTCCGACCCCAGTTACTTGTTATTTACATTTTATTTAAATTTATCGCCCTGGACGAAGGCTCTCGCATTGCGCCAATGCTTTACCGATAAAACAGTCGAAACCAAGAGCGCCCAGAAAGATAGGCCATTGAAAGATCCAAAGGGGAAGTTTCCACGCGAAGTTTAACCTCTCGGAGCTTACCTGCACCCGTGAAATCCCCGCCCTTTTATTTAACATGAAGCCTGAACAAGGCGCCCCTTGAGTTTGGGATACTTGCCTCCCTATAATGGACAAAACGGGAGTAAATTACCCCTTCTCTTTGAGGCGAACGCTGAAGTGTTAAAGGAAAACTTGAAAGGCGTAATACAATTGTAATTAAAAACTTAAGTTTGTGCTATTGGAATGGGAGATAGAAGAAATGTCCATCTTTTGCCCTCTCCTAAACCATCATACGTTGCGCTCCCGCGCCGCTCACATGTGGTCTGAAAACGATTGGACACCAGTTGGTTTTCTTTGTATCAGGCGACTTCCGGAATACAAGCAGCGTATCGCTGGAAAGTCCGTTCCGTTTGAGAAATTTTCCATTCACAAAGCTAACAAGTACCTGGAACAAGGCAACCATTTATTTCTTCCTGGAATGGTAAGTGCGAGGGGAATCGTAGGTCAAAATCTCTTTTCTCCGTTGGTTAAATTAGAATTGTAAGGCAGATCTAATGATAAGGCAAATCATTGGAGCGAGTCTATTTCTAGCCTAATTGGTGCAACACTTTTTGTTTTTGTACACGTGAGAATTGTCAGCTTGGCCAGTACGTCACATGGATGTTTTTATAATTACGTTGTTAGCGAATACATTTTTTTGGGTCTAATCTTGTACTATCGAAGAATGAGCCATTCTCAAACGGCAGCAATGTCGTTCCTAGGCTCCTTACGTTTTTCTTTCGAGACGACAAGGGGAGAGGAATGGAGACGAATTAGGATATATGTAAGACAAATGATATATACGCGAGGTTTTTTTTTTCTCTGGGGAATTAAAGAACCCCTAAACTGACTCTCCCTTCAGGAACTTATATTGCTCTGGAATGGCTTCAAAGTTCTTCATCGCAGGCCGGACTTAGTGGAGCCAATGTTGAAACTTGTCCAAACGTCGCTGGTAGAGTTAGAAGAAACTAAAGGTAAACTATAATAGTAAAAATTACGGTCGAAAACGCACCAACACAGGTTTCCTATTAAAGCACCTTTTTTATTCTAGAAAACCCATATTTCTACTATTACATCTGCGGTTCAACTAACGAACATATATGACGACCTTTTTCAGAACAAAACCATGATCACGAGTTTCCGGTTCCTTATTCACTTATTTCCGTGTTATTGGTACCGCCTAACCATGAATACTCCAGGAGTCCTGGATAAAAAGTAGCAATGTGAAATTTAAGCCCAGTCAAGTACAGCATCACATACAGCATTATATTGTCGGCGGCTATGATTAGAACCCAAACCCCGTCGAGGAGCAGACTTGCAGTTTTGCGTAGACCTTTCAACTGCACTTACCTCTTTAGTTCCAGGTCCCCAGCGTCATTCCAAATTTTTTCATATTTAAAAAACAAAACAACGTGACAGTCTTTCCTTTTTTTTTTTTTTTTTTTTTTTGTTGTTTTTTTTTAGGTAAAAATACAAATTACATGGATGATTTGTGTCTTGGATACCTGCTTCAGGGAATGTGTTACCGTTGTGTGAACAAACCGAAAGAAGCAATGGAGAGCCTCCTTAATGCGGTAAACAGGTCAGTAACTTTGCTTCCGGCAACTTGCCTTCTCGTATCATTTTCCCTCCTAATTTTTGTAATGGATCTTGAGAGTGAAAGAGTTAAAACCACGGGTTTGTTTTATATGATCCGCGAAACTCCCTTTCGAGTATGGGAACAAAAAACAAGCGCGAGAAAATTATGTCAAATGAGCGTATCTATCTGAGAGAGGTCTCGGGGGAAGGATTCAGGCCACTCTCGGCCAGCTCTAACAGCCCATTTTTTTTCCCTTGGTTCGTTTTTGGCGTGACATTTTGTCGGCCTCCTTTCCCAACCAGTAAGTGCAAGCACCTTATTCCTCCTTTTTCGTATTGCAGATCAAAGGACCTAGTTAAGGATTTCTACTTGGCTCCTTTCGCATGCGCAGAAGTTGGCTTTCTGTACCTAGAGGAGGGAGATCTGGATCAAGCCAAAGAATACCTCAATAAAACAAGGTATGAAAAAGCAAGTCGATTTTTCTAAGTGTTGGTAAATTTTCAGAACAGAAAGCAAGGCAGAACTCAGAGAAGACGTGCAACCGATGTTCTAGAAAAGCTGTCTAGTGCGTTAACATTAGCAAGTATTGTTAAGCAGCGTGGAATATCCAACATACCTGCAAGTGCAAGTAAAGCGCGGGAAAAAGTGTCACTGGTGTTAAGTGCGGGAAAACGTGCAACCGGTGATAAACGTGGCTCGGTGTTGCCGTGTTTAAGCGCGGGAAAAATGCAAGAGCTTCTAGGTTTGGAGCGTGGCAAAGGATCAAAGCAGTTCAGTTCTTAACTTTTATCCTTAAGAAAATCTGTTCATACTGTTTTCTCTCACATAAATCTGTATGCATGTAGGACGCTTGCTATTGGCCTCTGTTAAATGAGCTAAACTCCGATAGGTGCGAGTGCTTGAGTGGGGTTCTAATTGAATGATGTTAATTTTAAGCTATGTGTATTTAAACTGATGGCTGAGGGACTCAACACGTGGTGCATTGATACTGCTCTCCTGGAGTACACTGTGCATGGTATGAAGTATGAGATCCCAATGGGATGATATCAGTATCCAAGCAACTGCGCACCTACCCCTCCCCTAACCCAGCATTAACCCTAACTTTTTATCAGTTGACTGTTGCTAGGTTACGGAAGGGGTAGGTGTGCAGTTGCCCTGTGCCCTGTGAGAATCATACCTCATACCATATATGGTGTGCACTTGGAGAGAATACTGACATTGATCCGCTAGTTTTTATACCCCAGCGTTCCTCACAAAATCTTTGAGAACGTACTTTTTGAACCGACAGGAAAGACTACGAAAACCATTTGTTACAAAGCAGACTTCACTTCAGAATCCACTCAGCGCTTCAAGAAATCAAACACAGACGCAAGCAGGCGAAAGAAGCAGCTAAAATGGAAAAAAAGCAATCCAAACGCTCCAAGAATGGTGTCACTAACAATAATTCCTCAATAGACGAGGATTCTATCAGCATCTCTCTCGGTGGATCCGAGAGTCTCTCGCGCCAGGACTCCAACTCGTCCTTTGAGACAGCTCCTGAATATTCATCGGAAGATGACAGGGACCTGGGAGACATGGAACGGGATAGCAGTCCTAAAGAGAATGTTGTTTTGGAAACCACAGTGTGAAAATTTTCCGTCTCTTTAAGTTATTTAAATTTCCTTTAGTATCTTTTACGTGGTGTTACAGGATGATAAAAAGCCTCGGTAATAAATTTATTAGTTGTTAAAAAACCTAGATAGAGCCATGCCAAGTCCACTCCAATGAAGCCAATGAAGTGATATTTTGTTTTCTAAAGGTGTTATTTCTTTTTTTTTTTTTTTTTTTTTTTTTTGTTTTTGTTTGTTTCCCTTCACCAGAGCTTCATTTTCGTGGACATTAACGGAGTCTAGTTCCCTAATTTTATATACGTTTTTTTTTCTAACAAGGCTGTATTTTTTTTCTGTGTATGTTAGTGTTAAGTGAGGAAAGCCGTTTCTTCGACAAGCCGAGTTGATTATTACATTAGACACAGCATTTTGTTTACTTTGGGGTTAGGGGTAGCCTCTGTAGCGAGTAAAAAATAAGTAATTTTTTGTGACTCGTGATCTTCACGAGCGCTTTTAACAAAATGAGTTTGTCAGGGGAGGCGGGGCTCGGGTTGATAATTTGAAGGAATGTGTCAACGGATCTTCACGAGAAGCTAATAGAGGAAAGCTCAATCCGAAGAGTAAAATGTCCCTGCAAAGATCATCTCGCGTGGCGTTATATTATCGAGATATGACTCGGTCTTTGGCCAATGAGATCGTTTGCATCATTTCTATAATCACGTGAGCAATGATCTCGCTCTTTTAATTTCAATTTACAAAGGGAAGTAGTTTGGTGTGTATAATTTCCCTCAGAAGTCTAAAGTTAAACTCCTCAAATAGTTGGGAATTTGAACGAATTATAGATTTTATTTATTCTGTCCGTTCTTATATTTGCATTGCTTCTAACCGAAATATTCATTTTAGATTTATTTATTTTTAAGCCAGAGATATTCTAAATTAACAACAAGAAAAATAAAACTCTATCTGTACATACGTCGCGTGAAGCGAAATTGTGTTATTACAATCACCCACTGTGGTGAAATCAGGAAAGCTTTAATCTTTCATCGAGCAGTTTTTTAGTCAGTTACGTCATATTTTTGTGTGCTTGCAGACTTATTTTCCACCGAGTAATTTTAAGATTTTAGGGTTAAAATGAATGCTTCGAGATGAAGGAAATTTCTGATTTTTCCAACGCGCGCAGCGGAAAATAAAACCAAGGAACTGTGGATTAACTTACTTTACATCGTTCTTAGAAAGTTTTAGATCTGGCTTATTTAGATAGGAAAAGTTTGTATCACATTTGCTTAGAGTTTATAGGAATAAAAGGAAAAAGCTTTCTTGTTGTTATAACGTATCCACTTATTTCACCGGACTTTGATTGGCTCGACAGAGAATGGTGGTGGCTAACGCCTTTCATCCTAAATAAACGGTCTATTTTGTTGCAAAATTCATAAGTTACAGTGATCGATATGCCGCTGATCTGAAATAAAATGCAAACAGAGACGGTTATTTAGACCGATGGAATACTGTTTCCTCGAATTCAATATTAAAAGCGCACAAAATCAGTGATGCTATAGAGCACGAGCAGTAGTTGACTCCTTCCCAGCTTCATCTGTGTTGCGCGGCACTGAAAACAAACGAAGTTGATATCTAGGTGTTTCCTAGAGTTCACGCGGAGCAGGGATATCTTTCCGCAGACGTCTATTATATGAGTCGCTTCACACACTTTTCGTATGACAACAATACAACGGTGGAATCACGATACTTCCACAACCAACATCAAATTGATTGATCAAAACGAGTCATTAGCGCTGTCCACTAACGAAAACGACTGCTTTATAGAGCTTATTGCATATATTTTAAGAAAGTGTGGACAAAAGGATTGGAAAGTTACTATTACTATTACGAAAATTAGGTACCAACTCGGATACTAAATGGATATCAAATGCATCTGACGTTCGAGAATGTACGATACATGGACCTCAGGTTTGGTTGAAAAGAACGTTGAACATGTATGTTAATGCCGAACTCAGCACTTCTATGGAGCGAAGTTTTCATTCTCAGCCGTCTTTTCTCGTAGTTTTGGTTTATTGTTTGCTCTTTTGTGTTTTTCTACCTTTCGAATCTGATACTATGTAGATTCCTTAAAAAAAGATTCCTTCTGCAGTCTTAGCAAAAAATTGCAACAGAACTTGGTTCGCACGGCTGTCAACTAATCCGTCAGGTGTGAGCATTGGGACGAGACAAGTCTACACAGAGAGAAAACTGAGCACTAGTAAATAAACAAAGATTACGAAATACGCCGTAGCAGACAAGAGAAATAATTAAGTTTTAAGTTGTTTTGAAAAAGTTATCTGTACTTTCTCCTCGCTAAATTGAGAATTAATCAAGTAGAGGATGGACGGAACCGTGGTGGATCAGTCAAGGTTAGTCTAGTTTGTACAGTTTAAGTTAAAATTTTGGAAAATTTCACGTGTCCGTTCAAATCCTTCCAAGTACCGGCTGACCTCGAGCTCTAAGTAAGCCTATTGACTGTTCTTGGTTAAATACGTTGAACATAACGGGTTTGTACACCTTTGATTTCAAATTCATATGAATATAAACTTGTTTTCTATAGTTACCTAATGCTTTCCGCGATAAGCACATTACAGGTAAATCAGTTGCTGGCACGTTTCATGTTGTGTAAACAAAGCCGATAACCTCCGAAGAAAGTGCTGTGGTGTCCAACGTTGGATAATGATTAACTTCCTTTAATCGGAAGTGCCCGCAATAGTCGATCTGTATCAAGTCTTTTACCACACCAAGTCATCACTGATTTCAATTTTTAGAAAGTTGTCGCGCTGTGTAGAGTGTCCGGATCAATTCCTTAAGATTTAAGTAATTTATACGTTTATCGGACGAATGTACGGCATAAAATTAACCTTCGATCTACACCCCAACATCAGTATGCAAGTTCTCCATACCGTATTTTATACATTTTCTATGGTACTTTCGAGGAAAATTTGACTTACTTTCATGAGCTTTGCGAGTTCATGATCATTTTCTCCATTTTCATGACCCGAAAGTTTGATTCAGAAGTGTTACTTTTGGGAGAAGTTAGATGCCTATCACCATCAGGGTAGTCAAGCAAGATTTTAAACTCATCAGTGATGCGCTAAGAATGTTTTACTTGTGCGGCTTGTAATGTTGTAGTATGAACTCAAAATGCCATGCAAATGCTATACTCTTATAAAAGTTTTGAGGTCATAATGAAGACCCCTTCTCCACCCCCCTCATATTTTCCAATGACCTTCCATTGGGTTGTGGGGATATTTTCTGGAAAATCATCATGCTGCAATATTCGTAGGGTTAAAAGTATTCAGATTTGTTCTTTTAAAATGTTTATGTGCATAGGATTTTTCCTTACCTGTTTGATTTTGACTTTCCCTTGAGTATTTGTTCCCTTTAACTAAAATAAGTGAAAGTTAATGTAAAATTGGGAGGAAATTTTCTATGCAAACTTGAAATTTGAATCATGACAGATGATAAAATCCAAAGTAGTTGTATGTCCCCAGTGACCCTTCCCCTGGTCATCAATACATTTGGATTACCAGTCAATACTGGTAATCTTTAGCATTGAATTCATGTTTAACTAAATAATTGTTTGCTTTGATTTTTTTTATTATCTTTTACAGTACAGATAATGATTCCCTTACTATGGCAGAAGCCGTCAAAATGATCACCAAAGCTTATGACCTCTGCTTTTCAAACAAGTTTCTACAAGCAAAGGCAGACATAGAGCCATGGTATGGAAATTTCAATTTGTGGTCTAAGTAGTAAACTGTGTCTAACAGGTTATAGGTCTGGGTACAAACTTGATAACATGTGAAAAAGTTTTTTGTTAGGGCTGACTCCATCTTCCTCCTAAAAAATACATAAGTCTCTGTTGAAAATTATAATTAAGCTTCATGGGTTTCACTACCTGTTCAAAGGGGCATCTCTCTTTCTTCATTTTTGAAGTTTCACAAAACAGATCTTAATTAAAATTGTTAGAGAAAATAATGGTACTTCGTCTGGCTCTCTTGGAAAGCCCCCTTCTCCTCCTACTATTTGTCTGATGGACAATGATTGCTAGATAAAGCATTAGTCTAGAATTTATATAATTACACCTTTACAGGGCATGAAATAGCCCCTAATACAGGCGCCAATGTGACTGAATTTTTCACTTTGGCAATCAAATCCTGAAAATTAGTCACCAGATTGGCAACTAGAATGCTTCATCATGAAATCATCAAAAATTGAGGAGCCAAGTGGCTATCAGAAAAAAAATATATAATTTCACAGTTTGCATTGCTCCAACCTATTTTGTTAGGCAAACTGAGCATAAATCATCATCAGATTCCGGTTTTTATTTATTGAAAAACTACTATTATAATAATTCTAGTTCTTTTCACAAAAAAATTTACCTTTTCAGGATTTCCCTCACCCAGAAAATCTCCCAACATGTACAATTTGTTTAGGGATTAAATAACAGTCAAGTGGAAATATTTGTTGACTTCACAAATCATGTATATGTAATGAATAAATGGATATTCAAGTTTAGTTTATGGTTTCAGGATCAACAAAAGCATGTACCATGCAGTTGCATACAGCAGTATTATGTGCATTCAAGCTCTGTTGAAATTTGAACAGGTATGAGTCTGTACTTTCACCCTTTAACTCCCAAGATCTGATTTTTAATTCTCTCTTCTAGCTACTACATATTTCTTTGTAAATTAGTTATGACGTTCCCGCAGTGAAGTGACTAAACGTCCGGCAGTCCAATATTTTTCCATATTTCTCTTCAAAATCCAAAATATTTATACGAAAATGTTCTACCTTTATTTACAATCCTCCAGTGCTTCCAAGCAGCCAAAAATTTCAAACTAGATGTTTTTCGCCAACCCTGTATACAGAGTACAGAGCCTTAACTCAAGGTCTAACCCCAAATAATGGTTTTACACAGTCTGTGGGCTTTCACCATAAGAGGGTTGATTTAATGAACTGAATGTCCACCCACTGTTAGCTTTTGACTGTCTTGACACAGTTCACAAAAATAAATGTTCAGATAAAAAGTTCAGCTAAATCAAGGATTGTTAAGGATGCAGTATTGTTAAAAAAAAAAGACTAAACTTTGCTTAAATAACCTGCCCAAAGTCTCCACAGCTCAGTGGTAAAGCATCACAGCACAGAATCTGAAAGTCTGAGTTTAAACTTCTCACAACTTTTTTTTTATGTCTGTATGTGTCTTTATGTTTCTTTCCTGGATGTATTTTGTGTATTATGGTTGTCTTGCAGGATCCATCACGTTCAATTAGTTAAAAAATTGTGCCTTTGACTATTTGTTTTCCTTTGTATCTCAAACAAATTTTGACAGTGCGCTCAGCAGACGAAACGCAAGCCAGTTAATTAGATTATCGATAAGAGAGGAATCGCGGGCGTAAATTGTCAATAACCCTTGTGGAATATAAATGTAAAGTATCAAATACTGGCATTTGTGTTTTACTTACTTAATATAGACAGAGAGGAGATCAATAGTTTATTTTAATTATTAGTTGCTTGGAATTTAATAGGCTCAAATCTACTGCTTATGGCATCCAAAAAATTATTTTTTCTACCTTTAATGCACCTCTTTTCAAAGAAAGAAATGGTTTGGAGGCATTCTAAATGTATCTTGATGTAAATTTTTTCTCTTTTCTCATCCTAAGGGGACTTTTTGTCATCTCTAATTATTTTGCATGTAATTCTCATGTGATATGATAGAGAAAAATCAAATCAAGCCCAATTTATAGCAACATCAGAATGATTGTATTCACAATTAAGAAGGGGTATGCAATGCATTTGGCATACATAGAGGGCATACTGCCAAACTCAATCATCAAGACTGTAAACATTAACATAATCAGAATCATTTCAAAATGATCTTAGATTTTCATGTGATTGTGATGATCATATGTCACAGTGGCATCATGAAATCTATATGCCCATGGATGGTATTGAAACAGCATTTTCATGTTCATTGCTGTACTTAGGAATTTGGGGCTAGTATTATTCTCAGGTGGCGTAGACATGTGCAAGGCATATTTTGCAGCCTTGTACAAGTCAATATCACTTGCTCATGTGAACAACCCTTAAGTAATGACTTAACTGTGGAAAAGTACTGAAGTCTGCTAACTGATTCTTAAGACTGGAAAAGAATAAAAATAGAAACAGCATCTTTAAAATATAAAAAAAACAAACAAGCAATTGGGAGACAAATCCAAGTCTTTTCCAGAAGGGTAAAAGGTGCCACGATTGCTGGATGATGATTTTTTGTGGGAGATGGTTAGCAAGCTGGACTGTGGGTCAAGAGGTTACTGTTCAGAGACATGGTCAGGCATTTGTCTTGTGTTTCTGGGCAAGACACTTTAATCTCCTAGTCTCTCTCTCCACTCAGGAGTATTTTGTACTGAATTGTAAAAGGGAGGGGTGCTAGAGGGGTCCTTGGTTGGAGTGCTAGAGCAAAGGATTAGTTAGAGGAGTCCTGGGGTGCCTGTGACCCTCCTTTTGTAAGCCTTTTTAGTCACATTGAGTAAAACACTGTGTGAAGGTTGACATGATAATCTGGTGAGTACCCTCTGTTTGACAAAGTGTGATCCCCCTTTGAAAAATCCTGTCAATGCTTGTGTAGAGTGCCACAATTTTCACCCAGTATATAGTTTGTAATCCTTTGTTAAACATCCTCAAGGACTCGCTAAAGATCCTCCAAAGATTCTCCAAAGAACCTAGCAAAGTTCCTTGTGAGGATCCTTCAAAATCCTCAAGGGCAAAAAAAGGGGTTTCAAATTTAAAATAATTCACTCTAAATTGTTTACAGTGGTGATGTGGATGAAAAAGTGTTAGCTGATGCCATTAAGATGACAAATATTGCTGTCAACCTGTGTTTGTCAAACAAGTTCCTTCAAGCACAAGCTAAACTGGAACCATGGTAATCAACAGTGTACCTTACTCTAAGCAAATTTTAGAACTTGAATTGGCCCTCAGATTGTCCATATAACACTGAGATCAATGTCAGTATCTGAGCAATTACCCACCAACCCCTCCCCTAACCCAACATGAAACCCTAACTTGTTATCAATTGACTGATTTTGGGTTAGGGGAGGGGTAGGTGCATGGTTACTCAGATAATGACATTGATTTGGGTACTGCATTGTCAACAAGGCTTTACATTTGAAGCTGAACCAATTTTGACTCTGGCACAAAATTTGGATGCCTTTACAGTGTCATTATTAAGACCAAGTAGAAGTTTTGCAGATACCAGAAATGAAAGGTGAAATTGAGATTAATCTTCATTTTCTGTAAAATTCAATGGAAATTCACAGTCAATGTTTATGATAAATTTCACTACTCAATATATGTAACCTTTGGGAGGTTTTTTCAATTTTTCGCAGATTAATGAGATGACTTGATACTTTCTTGATTGATTTTAAGGATAAATGAAAGCATGTACCATGCTCTTGGTTACAGCACCATCATGTATCTCCAGGCTATGATGACATTTGAACCTGTGAGTACTACATAATTAATTATCAGAATTCATGAATTCAAGACTCCAACTTCTGTTGAATTTGTGCTTTTTAAGGGTGACGAGCATCTAAATTCTCTATACATAAATTATCACAGTGACAGTACTGAATGGAACATCAAGGTTATGAGAACACAGGAAATAACCACCCACTTAAGAGACTTGTGATTATTAAACAACTTCTCCTTATCAATAACACAGGAAAAGTATTAAGAGAGCAGTATGGAGAATTAAAGCATACTGGTGTTCAAGGGTATAATGGATTAACTCTTTGAATCTCTTTGGTTACTGGAATAAACATTTAACTTCTTGTTACAATACATTATTATGTATTAATAAAATAAATCATCTAATAAATAGGGACTGAGAAATCCATGAAAAACTTGTCAGGGAGTGAACAGTTACAAATTATCTTGATAAACTGTTCCATTAAACTTACTCTCTTAAGATCTCACAAGTATTACCCCCTTCGTGATGTGGAAAGAAATGACAAGGACGCATCCAAACCAGTAGCTAGACACTTTAATCTCCCAAATCATTCTAAACAACATATAGCATTTTGCAGCCTTTCTTTACATCTAGGCAGTTCAGAAAGCTGCAAAACACTAGAACAAAAATTTATCTTCCAAATTGGCACTCTTCATCCCCACGGTATCAACAAGCACTAATTTCATTCAACTAATTTATTCTTGTTTTTTCATCACCATACTCCCACCAATAGTGTAGCTCCACTCCCGCTGACGCAGCACCACAGTTTCTTTAGAAACTGACCCCCTTTATTCAGTTCTTCTTACTGTCTGCCAAACAATTCTTAAGATGTTGTTTCGGTGAATTTGGTATTGGATCAACAAATAATCCCCCCCAGAAAGTATTATTTTCTTTACTATTGTTACCTGGCCTGTCTGCAATAATATTGTAACGAGAAGTTTTTCTCTTGGACCTGGGAATTTAAGGGTTAAGTTCTCTTAGCCTTCTTACTTTTACCCAAAAGTGATGAATAAGTAACTTCTCCCTAAAGTACGTATCTTTATATTGTCTAGCAAACAGCTAGGTAATGAGAATACTCAAAGTTATCAGGTAGAAGTTGTCATCTTGATCTAACACCAAATTCTTGTAACTTATTTATGTAACCCCTCTAGCTGTGTAGCAGCTAGAGGGGAGAATTAACGATCAGATCTTGGGAGTTAAAAGGTTAAACTTATTTACAAGGAAGTGTACAGTAGCAAGAAGAGAGGATTAATTGAAGTGAAAAGGGATGACAAAAGATCTCTTGAAAATTCCACTAAGGAAAATGTATTTTTGAGATAAAGACTCCCTCAATACTGAAAATTTAATTCAAAAAATACTTAGCTCAAGGAGCAGAAAAAGATGAGGGCAATTGATTCATTATTTTTTTCCATAATGATATATATCCATTATTGATTTGAATTTTCTGATTTTCATTCATTTTATTTAGCAAGCTATACAGCAAGCAAGTAACAGCAATAAACTTGCTTTAGATGTGTGTGAAAGGTAATCATTTTAACTCCCTTTTTTGTTTCTAATTTTAGGTACTTACCGTAGTTATTCGGTTATAAGGCGCACTCGGCTATAAGACGCACCCCCAATTCGGCAACTTCCTTATTGCATGTTTTCAAACTGAAAATATCGCTAAAATACTTGGTTATAAGGCGCATCGTTGTTTGGGGAGTAAAGATCAGTCAAGTTTATTGTAAATTCTTTCATAAACTTACAAAAAAGCGAAAAAGTCGCGTATTGATTATAGTTTACTGTTAATTAACAAAAGCAGAATTGTCGCACACGCGACCACGCGCACAAACAAAAGCCTTGATTAAACAAGAATTAACATACCGCCGAGAAAAATTCCTGGCCCATTTCTTGATGAAAATCGATCGTAATTTAATTTCAAGCCTTCAACATAGTTGGTTGGTGTGATGTCTGTACAGACTTTACCAATGTAATAAAAGTAGACGACATGAATAACAGTGATGGTAAAGCAAGCTGAAAACGGCAACAATCGCCAGAAACTACAACGGATACACAGGGTATGAGTAAGTTTTATTGATTTTACGAGAAAAATCTTCATATTTCGAAATATTTATTGTTGTAAATCGACCGTATTTCGTTCCCTATACTATTCCTTATAACGTGTTCAAATTTTCAACGGTTCCTAGCATAACTTACTCTGAGTCACACAACGCGTGACGCGTTCGTGAATTAATCGTTGGCTCTTTCTCGAGACGTGACCTTGGGTTGCCTGTGACAAGACAATTGCGTAAACAATACTTAATAATAATAATAATTTTATTTAAGTGTCAGTGTATTTTAGCACTGCTGTGCTAATTGGGGACACTGAAAATAAGGAAACAAATATCGTAAATGAACAGAAACTCGTTAAAAACCCCAACTGGCAGGAGGCAGACCAGTTGGCTATTTACAAAGCGTGCAGGAGTTGAATTCGGGGCCACCGAAGACAAATCCATCCAGTGGCAGGGAGGAGGACTTGAACCCGGGACCTCCGGCTTACAAGTGCAGCGCCTTAACCACTAGGCCACGCTCGCCTCCATACTTAACATAATAACATTATACACAAATAGCACGGGATTTTGGATCATGTATTTATTAAAAAAGAATATCCATACAACTACAATGAAAACAAACATAAGATTCACCTTTCTGATCGTGAGATTCGCATTGTTATCGTAGCTACGTTCCCTGGCATCAAGTGAATCCAACATGGCGTCTTTCTTCACAAGCAGTTTGCATCCATTTGAGTTTTGTTCTTCAGTCTCACGGTAGTAGTGTTGTTCAATAGATTGCATAGAGTAACTGCAGTTTGGTTTCAGACTTCAGATTTTGCTTTTTACAACGAGTTTACGTTTTCAACTAAAAATCATTGGCATACTTAGCATACAAGACATACAAGGCATTCAATGCTTTCATGGCTTTCAAGCGTTCGCGATTCAGTCCGTTCCAAAATTACCGCTCAATAACATCTTTTTGTGTGGATTGGCCGCGAACAATACGACTTGTGTATGCGTCTATAAGTATTTTGAGCGTTTGCGCCATAATGCACCAGATGATCGTAATCCAAACACGTTGAAATATAAAACGACTGACAAAAGAGTTTTATGGGCAAAAATCTCGTGTTCGTCATGTGACCCGGCCCTGTCCGTGCATGACAATGTCAATCATCATCAAGATAGCACGCGTGATCAGCATGTAAACACCTCATTGGATCACAGTTAGTTGTCATGGTGTTGAGGGCCCAATGACCTTGGGTACTATTGCGCAATTTTTCCATTTTGTGGCGGAGGAAAAAAAAAAAGACGACAAAAAAACAAAGGCATTTTATGACTGGGCTACCACAGGTATCCCAGTAATTAGGAATTTCTTGAAAAAAACGGTGCGCCTTATAACTGAATAACTACGGTAATTTTTACAATCTGTTTTATATATATGTTAATGGGATTTGAAAATTGAAAATTTAAGATTTAATTTGAAAGAAAAGGAAGAACGAGAAAATGAAAGAAAAAGATAACTAGTAAACCATGAGAGGGAAAGAACAAAGGAAGTTATGGAAGGAAGGAAGCGTCAGTGGTTGTTAATGAGAAGGGAGACATCAAGGAAGAGAGGGATGGAAAGTGGGAGGGGACTGAAATATGAAGGAAGAAAGAGTTGAAAAAGTTGGAAGGGAGGAACAGAGGGAGGAAGGAAGGTACAGGAGGGAGGAAGGAAGGAAAGTGCAGAAGGTAGGAAGGAAGGGAAATGGGTACGGAGGAGGGGAGCAAGGATGGAAGGAGAGCAGGAAGAGGGACAAGGTGTGGCTAAGTCAGGCAAAAGGACGACACTGCCGTCCAGCAGTTATGCCAATTTTCTTAGCATGCATGAAGCAACTTGGATTGTTGCTACTACCCCAGGATGGGATGCTTGTACATTGAAAGAAGAAGGAAGTAATAATCATGGTTATTTTGATGTACTCTGCAATGCTAGAATGTAATTTAGTTCCAACCTTTTTTTCATGTTTTGTACTTTTTTTCTAGATACAGAAGGAAACACACATGGACAGAATCATTTACTAGCTGGATTTGGAATCCATCCTATGATAATTTAACAGAAGGTACTCTCTCTTGCACTGTTCTTGTTTTAGTTTTCTACCTTCATTATGATATTTCACAGCAGGACTGGCCCTATTTTTGATATGTTTTGTATTCATTCTAGTGGAAAGACATGCTGAGCTGTGCTATGCCGAGTGTTTATTTATGAGGGCATTACTCACATTTATACAGGTATAGGTAATTATTGATCGACTCTATTTCACTCTCAGTGAATATTTAACAACTGTTTCCCAAACTGGAGTTGGTTGGTGCTGGATATTTACTGAGCCGCAAACCAACTCATAATTATCCCGCACCACTAGCCACAAACACTGATGTGAACAGTTGTTTTAGTTCATACTAAAACAGTGAGCCAACAGAGGAAAAAAAGGATGATTGTAACTCATTTATTCCTACAATGATTATAATATTTTCAGGTGCAAATCCCACTCTCCAGTTGTAGGGAGGTGAATAATAAACAATTACTTCACAAGTGCATTAAATGTGAGATGATAGATAGCCAACAAGGCCCATAGAGCCTAATTGATGAAATCATGTCATATTCAACAAGTAAAAGTGGAATAATTGTTTTTTTAAAAATGCCCTTTAATATAGATAAATTTTTCCAACTGTATTGTTAATAACAAACTGATTGTGCCCAGTGTACCTATCATATTTTTAGAGCATGTTATATTGGTTCAGAACACATGACGGCTAAACCAATGAAAACTCTTGAATTGCAATATCCAGTGATCCAGTTTTTAATAACAAAGGCTTTTCAGATTTTTAGTAACCAATCAGAAGGCACCTTCTATGCCATCTACTGTTTTAGTTTATACTAAACTCAACTGTATTCATCAGTATTAAACCAAGATTATAACTTTATAATCACATGATAAGTAGAAATCTGCTGGTTTACTGTAGGAAGTCACTAACCATAAACAATAAATTAGCATGTCTGTATGGAATGACTCTTATAAATTTCTCATCAGGATGAAAATCTGGTCAGCTTCATTCGCGGAGCTCTAAAAATCAGAAGTGCTTATCAGACTTACAAGTAAGTTTTGAAGTGAATTTTGGATCATTACAATGTAATAATTCATTGAAGATAATTTTTTTGCTTAGCAATTTTTGTTGCAGACCCATATAATTGTATACTTTCTGTTGTTGATTTATATATTGTGGTATTTCTCTTAACTCAGGACTTGCCTGGACATGGTTGCCCATCAGCCATCATCTCTTCAGCATTCACCACAAAGAAAGGACTTTGAAGGAGGAGTTCACCTTGGCATTGGAGGATTTAATTTGGTGAGTCTTACAGAAAGTATGGTGAACTTAATTTTGTCAGCTCATTAAAAATTATCATGATGATCTTATTGTTTCAACTGGTACATTGTGTCCATTTTAAAGCTATGAGTATTTGGAAGTGCTCCTGGTTGCCTTGAACAATGCTAGATTGTGGATTTAGTTGATTGTGTCTTGTGGTGCCTCTATCCAACCACGATTGATAGGGACAAACTGTTGGAGCAGTTCAAAAAGTAATATAATGGGAGTGGACGAGAGATAGACCACTTTCCACTTGAGGAAGTGCCGCAATATTCCTTATCACCCCAAGTTAAAGAAGCTGGGATGAGTTTTCCTCAAAAGTAAATTATCATACATAGACTGCCCATGTAACATTTTGCTTGCAGAATGTTAAAAGTTTGACATTTTAATTGAATGTCTTTTCTTAGATGTTGTCCCTACTTCCTGCAAAGATAATCAAGTTGTTAGAGTGGGTTGGTTTTTCAGGAGACAAGGTAACACTGTCCTTCTTCAGACGGAGTCAAAATCCAAATCCTTAGACTACAAGGATAATCTTTCAAAGAACCAATTTCAGTTGTGTGGAAACTAAAATAAATGCAGTTTTGTATTGCCTTTTGCTTAAATTCAATGTGAAGTTTTAAAAGCTTACTTATTGAATTCCTTAGACTTTAAAATGTGATATTACTTTTGATCACTTTTGTATTCATTTCAGTTGAATAAAACTCAATCAAAATGCCATACAAGTTTAAACAAGTAATTTTATTTTGAATATCTCTACTTCCCAGAGGTGATTTACATGAAGCAAGATCCTCACAATTATATCAAAACATAGTTCCATGACCAGATGTTTGGAGTGCACAAACTCATCCAGCTCTCAGTAGAGGGCATTATTTGGATATAGAAATTAATTCTCTTAGCTTATCTACATGAAGATGTGTAGTAATAAGAATGGAGAATTGATAATCAGATGTTGAAAAAACCTAACGATGAGATGTGACTTTAAACTCCCATTTTATGACCAGTTTTTAGGTCTGGATCACTTAGACCAAGGATGCAGAGACCAGAACTTAAGATCGCCCATGTGTGCCATGGTTCTGCTCGCCTATCACAGTGTAATAACTTATTACCTTGGTAAGTGGTCAGATTTAAAACTTATTACCTTGGTAAGTGGTCAGATTTATAACTTATTACCTTGGTGAGTCGTCAGCTAAACACCACAACAGAAGAAGACTTGTTTAGGGACCATACAGTTTATTAAATGTATATATCCCACGTAAATAACACACTGGACTATTACATAATAGATATTTGACGAATACACTAAACCAACGGTCCAGTAATCAAGAATAAATTACAAACACGAATGAGTTTAAGACGCAATCAAAACTGTCGATGGTATAGGTGGGAGGAAAACTAAAACTTTCTTAAAACTTGTTGCTTGCTTGATTGTTAGATTACTGATAACACGTGCACAGATACCTCAGCGGAAATACTAAAGTAATTTCGCAATTCAAACGCGTCAGCGTGGTGAATAGCTATTGGCTCTACCAAAGTCTTATGGCTTCTATGCTAAACAAATTACTCAGTCTTAAAGAAAAGGGAAAATACTAATAAGCACCCTGCCTGTACCCAGTCCAGGCCTCTCAGTTATCTATGTCTAGATTCATATTAATAGAGATTAATATTCACATTTATCAATAGAATTGTCTTAAGATGTTTACTGTATGACTATTTTTGTGCTGCTTGGTGATCAGATTTATCAACAGAATTGTCTCAAGATATTTACTGTATGACTACATTTGTACTGCTTTGTGGTCAGATTTATCAGTAGATGTTTACTGAGTGACCACATTTGTGCTGCGGTAAAAAGCTGCGAAATTAAGCCAGCAACCGGTTGAAACCTGAAAAAGGCATTTGTGTATGCAGCGTCAAGTGCAGTGACTTGACTACTATTCTGCCTGCAGAAAATTGTTGTGAGCAAATAATCTCCCAGCTCTAGCTGATTTCTAAGCACCCGAAGGTCTCTTTTTACGAACTTTAACGATGTGCTGACAGTTGTACCATACACAAAATCTCATTGTTCCAGGCCTGCGTTTATCTCTCTTTAATTAAGATCGACATTGGAACAGCTTGCTACTTGACTGTAGTAATAATGCTTTTTTTGAACATGGTTTGATGCTATTCTGGTTTACAGATTTAATGAATGTAACCGAAAAAGTTAAAATTCATAGACCCAACGTTTCAACACTCCTGTCTAGTACCTTCATCAGGGGTGATCTAAACGCTGCAACAAGAGGTCCTTTTATATGATTACTAATTAGCTGCCTTTTTTTGTGACGAGGTGTAAATAGGCGTCAGGAAGCAAGTCGCCATCGTCACGATTTAAAGGAGCGTGGGCGGAGTTAATATGCCAAGCCTCCAAACAAAGGCGCTGGTGGTAACGCCACCCAATTGTATGGTTAGTTAAGCATGTGTGCTCCAAATGAAGGAGTGTCGAAACGTTGGGTAGTAGCATCAGACCATGTCTAATTGTCCACCTGATTGCCGTGTAACTTTAATATTTAATACTTTTTTTTTGTCGTCACACAGCTTACGTTGACATTTATCAAAGTAAATTACGATAATATAAAGACTTCTTAAATTCCTATTCATTGTCCCTTAACTCACAAATTACAAACAATTACAATTTCGTCGGAATCCCTTTTTCTACCCGGCTCGCGTTGTTATGAATTTTTAAATTTGCATATTTCTCAGACAGCAGCCTATCACACAGCTTACGTTGACATTGATCAAAGTAAATTACAATAATATGAAGACTTCATAACTTCCTATTCATTGTCCCTTAACTCACAAATTACAAATGGACGCAATTTTGTCGGAAACCCTTTTCCTACTCGGCTCGCGTGGTTATGAATTTCTAAATTAGCATATTACTAAGACATCCAAACTTGAAGTACACACAGTATTATTTTTGTATGTGTGGTTGTTTGAAGTTCAAACAACTATACATACTTCCACCTACATCAAACAATCCTAAGAACTATTTTAATGTTTTCATTATCAGTTTATCTTTTGCTGCTTAATGTATGTTAAATAAGTTCTAGTTTGCGTTTTTCTTACTGTCTTGCGTACGTACCGTCTTCTTCGTGGCCTTTAATTCCCATTGTCTCCCTCGTTGTTCGCTTCGCTTTCATCAGCTTTGCTTTCATCAGCTTTGCTTTCATTAGCTTCGCTTTCATCAGCTTCGCCTTCATTAGCTTCGCTTTCATCATCTTCATCTCCTAGAGGACTTGGCAAATTTTGGGCATCCTCCGCGCTTCTTATCTTCATTACTCGATCAAAGTATTCAACTGAGATGTTAAGGGGCTGCACCAACTCCTTCAAGCGGATGGTGTATGGTCCGTCTTTACCTTCTTGAATTTCTCGCACAATGCAGGTGACATGGACGTAGCTATTGAACCGATGCTCCGCCCTCCGCCTAGCAGTAAATGTGGTGATTATCTCAATCAACTCCGCGAAGTTGTTGCGCAAAATAAGCATCATACTTGACATATTTTCTTGTTGATTGATGTCTAAGCCACTGAATGCATCTTCTATTCGAAAATGGGGATAGAGTTGATCATATTTGCACCAGTAGTGTCTCGCTGTATTCCTGTCATTTGCGAGACAGAAAAGCGGGCCTATAACTTCTCTTTCTAGCTTGTTCTTATTCCTAGAATATGAGTATGGCCCGATATTCGGCCAAAATTTTCGACTAACACCCACCGCTTCCAGCATGCACATACGTACAACTGCTGATGCCGTTCGACCAAAAGACACGAAGTCAAACACGAACCTATGATCGTCTCGTTGATGATTACTTTCTATATCTGTAATAACGGCGGTTTGAAAGTGTGTTACTTGCAATCGGTCTCTTAACTCATTGGTGGCGTCAAGGACTATCTGAAACGCTGGATCCGTTTGAACGAAGATAGTCTCTCCTTCCATCATCTTTTTCCTCGCGACAAAGACGTGACGCGAATAGGTTAGTGAGTGTAGGTGCAGGGTTTTTTACAGGGTTTCTGTCACAAATGCTGTATCTGATTGGCTAAGCTACACTTC